ACCCAGAACACCCTAGCAACCGCCTAGCAACCACCCATAATACCCTAGCAACCACCTAGTAACACCTTAGCAACCATGCTAGCAACATGCTAGCAACATGCTAAACATGCTAGCATGATGCTAGCAATATGCTAATCATGCTAGCATCTAGCTAAAACATGTTTGCAACATGCTTATTTTTGCTAGCATCATGCTAGCAACATGCTAATCATGCTAGCATCATGCTAGCAACATGCTAATCATGCTAGCATGTTGGTAGCATGATGCTAACAACATGCTAATCATGCTAGCATGATGCTAGCATGATGCTAACAACATGCTAATCATGCTAGCATGATGCTAGCAACATGCTAATCATGCTAGCATCATGCTAGCAACATGCTAGCAACATGCTAATCATGCTAGCATCATGCTAGCAACATGCTAGCAACATGCTAATCATGCTAGCATCATGCTAGCAACATGCTAATCATGCTAGCAACATGCTAATAATGCTAGCATAATGCTAACAACATGCTAATCATGCTAGCATGATACTAGCAACATGCTAATCATGCTAGCATCTTGGTAAAAACTAGCTAACCGCACCCTAGCAACCGAGCGGCGAGTTTTGCCACTGCAAGCACCACTTCACATTTTCTTCTGGAAATGTACATTCTAGTGTTGTGATTACTATTCACCCAGACAAAACTTCGGCACGCTACTCCTCCCAGACCTTTTGTCGTAGACCCATGAATGAGGTGTCAAATCGACCGGTTCATTGAGGAGAGGTGTGCTATGTCTTTTCTAAGCGATCGGTTGTACGATGTTCGTCCGGCGGGCGAAAAATTTGCCGAAAAAAGTCCCATAGACTTAACATTGGCACAAAATTTGTAAGATCATTTCTTTTGAGCAGAAGGTCATAGAAACTTGGGGTTGGGCTCTTTTGACTCGGCCTATCAAGAAGCCAATAAGTAGTGACATAACAACTTCATGGCCACGCCCTAGCAACCACTTAGGGCACCCTAGCAACCATAAAACAACATTTACAAGCCATATTTCAGCTCCAGAAAATTGTAGAGACATGGAGCTTGGCTTTTTTGACTCAGACTGTCAACCAGTCTTTAAATATCATCCCATAAACTGTATAAGCACACCATAGCAACCATATATTGTACCCTAGTAACCATACAAACACATGAATAAGCCATATCTCCGCATCAGAACATCGTACAGACATGGTTGTTGTCTCGTATGCAATCATGTACAACACCCTAGCAACCGAGCGGCGAGTTTTGCCACTGCAAGCACCACTTCACATTTTCTTCTGGAAATGTACATTCTAGTTATTATTATTATTCTTCTTACTCAAAATTTACAACTGCTACTCCTCCTAGAGCTTTAACTCCACATACTCCAAACTCGGCACGGACACTCAAACTGTTCTGACTCGGTATGCTATATCTTTTCTAACTGATCGGACTTACGGTTTTCCTAAAAATGACGATCAAAGTCGGAAAAAACTCCCATTGACTTTACATTGCGGAATCTTCAGATTTTCAAACTCCCCAACTGTCAAAAATTCAAATGTAAATCCCTTGAAACCCTAGACTGAATCAAACTGCCATTCTATACACTATATGAGCCAATGAGACTCATTCAAACTAATAAACTCATCTATCTATGACACTTATCCATCTATCTATCTACTTTAAACTAAATTAAACTTCAAACTAAATTAAACTTTAAACTTCAAACTAATTTAAACTTCAAACTTATTTAAACTTTAAACTTCAAACTTATTTAAACTTTAAACTTCAAACTAATTTAAACTTTAAACTCATAAACTCGTACACTTATAAACTCATACACTTATAAACTCATGAATTCATACACTTATGAACTCAAACTCATAAATTAATAAACTCTGAACTCTTACTCATTTAAACTTATAAACTCTAAACTCATAAATTCATACACTTATAAACTCATGAACTTATAAATGCATTAATTCATACACGTATGAACTCTCATGAATTCATACACTTATGAACTTTTAAACTCATAAATAGTTCACCATAGCAAACACCCAGAACACTCTAGCAACTGCATAGCAACCACCCAGAACACCCTAGAAACCAACTGAAATACCTTAGAACACCCTAGCAACACCATAGCAACCACCCACAATACCTTAAAACACCCTAGCAACCACATAATATAACTTAGAAACACCCTAGCAACCACCCAGAACACCCTAGCAACCACCCAAAATACCTTAGAACACCCTAGCAACCACCCAAAATGCCTTATGACACCCTAGCAACACCCTAGCAACCACCCAAAATACCTTAGAACACCCTAGCAACACCATAGCAACCACCCAAAATACCTTAGAACACCCTAGCAACACCCTAGCAACCACCCGAAATACATCAGAACATCCTAGCAACACCCTAGCAACCACCCAAAATACCTTAGAACACCATAGCAACACCATAGCAACCACCCAGAACACCCTAGCAACCACCCAAAATACCTTAGAACACCCTAGCAACCACCCAGAACACCCTAGCAACCACCAAAAATACCTTAGAACACCCTAGCAACACCCTAGCAACCACCCAAAATACCTTAGAACACCCTAGCAACACCCTAGCAACCACCCAAAATGCCTTAGAACACCCTAGCAACCACCCAAAATAACTTAGAACACCCTAGCAACACCATAGCAACCACCCAAAATACCTTAGAACACCCTAGCAACACCCTAGCAACCACCAAAAATACCTTAGAACACCCTAGCAACACCCTAGCAACCACCCAAAATGCCTTAGAACACCCTAGCAACCACCCAAAATGCCTTATAACACCCTAGCAACACCCTAGCAACCACCCAAAATACCTTAGAACACCCTAGCAACCACCCAAAATAACTTAGAACACCCTAGCAACACCATAGCAACCACCCAAAATACCTTAGAACACCCTAGCAACACCCTAGCAACCACCAAAAATACCTTAGAACACCCTAGCAACACCCTAGCAACCACCCGAAATACCTCAGAACACCCTAGCAACACCATAGCAACCACCCAAAATACCTTAGAACACCCTAACAACACCCTAGCAACCACCCAAAATACCTTAAAACACCCTAGCAACACCATAGCAACCACCTAAAATACCCTAGAACACCCTAGCAACCACCCAGAACACCCTAGCAACCACTCAAAATACCTTAGAAACCACCTAGCAACCACCCACAACACCTTAGCAACCCACTAGAAACACCCTAGCAACATTTAATTACTTGAAACTATACTTTAACCTTTAAACTACTTTGAACTTTAAACTATTTAAAACTTTAAACTACTTTAAACTAATTTAAACTTCAAACTACTTTAAAATTCAAACTTATTTAAACTTTAAACTACTTTAACTTTCAAACTAATTTAAACTTCAAACTACTTTAAAATTCAAACTAATTTAAACTTTAAATTAATTTAAACTACTTTAAACTTTAAACTAAGTTAAACTATAAACTACTTTGAACTAATTTAAACTTCAAACTAATTTAAACTTCTTCAAACTTTGCGGTCCAAACTTTCACAAGCCAACTTAAAGTTTGTCTCGACGAACTTTTTCTAGTTTCAATGATATTGTTTCTCTGTGCTGTTATTATTAGTTGTGCAGTGGCCTCTGCAATATACTTATATACTATATACTTATCCTTGTCATTATAGTTATCATCTTTGGTGTGAACCAAAGTGACACAGTGGATGTGGGATCAATATGACCTATGACACAGCATGAATATGATGTTATACACAGAGCGACAGTGAATACCGCTAGCGCTAGCAGTTCCAGCAGACAATGGCGCCCATGCTGTGACCCCGAGCTGACGGAGCAGACTAGATCTCCCACAGAGGAAACATAAGGTGATTATATGCCTGGCTGCTTAGTGTCGTGAACGTAATGGGCCGTTGTCCATTCATAAACACTGAATACTGGTGCTAATAGTCATGAGCATTCCAGTTCAGTTTGGGGTTTATCATGGATAGAATGGGAGACAATGGTGAATCCTGGACAGTGTAATTAGTGGCAATCGGTCATTGGCATTTATACAAATGAACATGGCATCATTTCCACCCTGAACCTTCCCATAAGAAGAATGAGAAAAAAGATAAGATATATACAGCAAATATTTTAAAAATATAATATTTATATAAAAATGTTAAAGTAAAAACAATACAATACATATATTTTTATTATTATAAATATATATATATATATAGATGCATTTTTTTTTGATAAATTAATTTCCAAATTATTTGCCAATTATCATCAGCATAATACTTCAGTACAATTTTAATTAAAAAGATAACATGAATTTCTGAACTTGGTATGTTTTCTTTGGTCAATGCCACATTTTTTTAAATATTTTTTTTAATTAGTGACCTTGAAAAAGTGCAGAATCTTAAAATTGCATTTGTTTCCAGGTTTAAAAATATATTTATTTTTATAATAAATATATACAAAAAATATAACATCACATTTAATACAAATTTTAAAAAACATTTTTTAAAATATGTAAATAATATACATTTAATATATACTTATATATTGTATATATAAATTAATATTATTATTAGCCTATTATTTAATTGGTTTTACAGTTATTTGTTATAGGTATCATCCATTAACTTGCATGGTTTTCTAAAGAAACGCAGAACTTAGAAAAGGTTCTCCTATAACATCTGTAAAACCCATCCTGCAACCTTTATTTTTTACAGTTCAGTCCCAAAGATTCTCCTAGAAAGTTTCCCTGCTGCGCTCAATCTCATCTCTCTAGTCCTGGGGTGCTATTGATTTCTCCCCCGAATCGTTATTGATTTTTTTGGTTTTTATATACTCCTATTGACAGTGTATTCTGTTGCATGACGCCAATAACCTCTGTCTATTGACTGGTTAAATGGAGCTGACTTCAAATCATTAAAGGTACTGTGTTGAGTGCATACCTGTTTGTACAGGGCGCAAATATGGAGAGCTGTATTCCCAGATGCATTTTCCACACTCATGTCCGCTCCGTAGAACAAGAGGTGCTCCAGGTGCTGGACGTGACCGTATCGACAAGCCTGATGAACAAATGAGAACTAGTTTTATCCTTTTTGTGAGAAAAAATAAGAATCTTGTAACAGTTTCTGCTGGAACAAAAGCATTTGTGAGCCTTAAAAATTCAAACAGTAGCCTACGACAGATCCAGAAGTCTTTTGAAACATAAAAACATCATTAAGCCTTCAGTACGCTGTCATCTCATATCTTTCAAAGAGTCTGAAAGTAAACCCTACATGCTGCTTTTCCATTTTCCCAGTAGAGTGCGATCAAAAACGCCGCAGCAATAATATGACTGGCATCCTGCAGTCCACCTGTCACAACACTAGATGTCAGTACGCCGTCACAACAGACAGACTTGATGATTTGCTCACGTTAAACTAGTTTGATCTCATCACCTGTCGATTAATTGAACAAAGCTGCTGTCATATAAAACTGCAGCTCTAGTATAACTTCCACTGCTTTACTCCACGGTGCATACATTACCCCACTCAACATTTTTAGCCAAGAGAAAGCTTTAAGAACCCTTTTTTATTGAATGTCACCAGCTAAACTACTCATAATGTGAAAGACAGCGCCACCTGGTGGATCTCGTGCCAGCCGTTCTCATCATGGCATGCGACGCTGGCATGGGCACGGAGCAGGACCTCGCAGCAGCTCGGGTCTCCACCTACGGTCACTGTATGGTAGAGTGGAGTCAAACCCTGACGGTCCTTATAGTCTGGAGACGCTCCCAAATCCAGCATAGTCTACAGAGGAAAGAGACATAGGATTAGGTTCCAGTTAGAGAGGAAAATACATTAAATACAGTATTATGATTAGGTTTTTGGAAGGGTCTTAAAGCATGAAATGAACTATTTTTTCTTGCCTGCTTCCTTTTACGTCACAGCTCAAGATAGCTACAGCTGTGCGCTGAGAATTTTTTCAATTTCTTTTTTAATGTTCACGTGTGACGAGGCAAATTAAAAGCACAATTTGTGCAATTGTTAAAGAGCTATTTCTATGGAATCGAACCCTTTAGCATTGTTGTTGTAACTTAATGTATTTAAGGGTTAATTCAGGGATGTTATCCTCAAGATAAATCCGAACAGCAACACCCCAGTTACACTTGATGGAGAAGCCCTGGAAGAGGTCGAGGCCTTTATCTACCTAGGCAGTGTCATCAACAAACAGGGGGGCACTGACGTGGATGTTAAGGCTCGTATCGGAAAGGCGCGCGCAGCATTCATACAACTCCGGAACATCTGGAGCTCCAAGGAACTGTCCGTCAAGACCAAAATAAAACTTTTTAATTCAAATGTCAAGGCAGTTCTCCTCTATGGAGCAGAAACATGGAGGACCATGGTAACCATCACCAAGAAAGTACAGGTGTTCATCAATAGCTGCCTGCGAAAGATACTCCGCATCCACTGGCCAGAGACCATCAGCAATAGCGAACTCTGGCAAAAAACAAACCAGCTACCTGCAGAAGAGGAAATCAAGAAGCGACGTTGGGGATGGATTGGACACACCTTACGTAAGCCAGCGACAAACACCACCAGACAAGCCTTAAAATGGAATCCGCAAGGAAAGCGAAACAGAGGTCGACCGAGAAATACCTGGCGCCGAGACTTGGAGGCAGACACAAAGAGCATGGGAAAGACCTGGAGTCAGCTGGAAAAAATGGCCCAGGACAGAGATGCCTGGAGATCCCTTGTTGGCGGCCTATGCCCCAGGAGGGGTAGTAGGCGAAAGTAGTAAGTAAAGTAAAGTCAGTGATGTTAAATTATATTTTTGACATTTGACATTATAATTTTTATTATTATTATTATTATTATTAATGTTGAAAACAGTTGACCATGCTACATTTTTTCAAGATTCTTTGATGAATAGAAAGGGTAAAATAGCAATATTATAAATGTCTTTACTGTCACTTTTGATCTATTTAATGCATACTTGCTGAATAAAATATAATTTCTTTAAATAAATAAATAAAAACTGACCCCAAACTTTTGAACAATTATGTATATCAGAAGAAGCGCCTTGAACTATTATAAGCAATCATTAAACAGACAACATCTTAGTAGCCAAATATAACATCTGAACTTGTAAAACCTACACATTTAAAGGGATATTTCACCCAAAAATCATTAAAAACACAAAAGAAGATATTTTGAAGAATGTTGGTAACCAGACAGTTGACGGAAGCCATTGACTTCTTTAGTATTTTTTTTCCTACTATGGAAGTCAATAGCTACCGTCAACTCTCTGGTTACCAACATTCTTCAAAATATCTTCTTTTGTGTTCTCAAGAAGAAAGAAATTCATACAGGTTTGGAACAAAGAAAATTTCATTTTAATTTTTGGGTGAACTATCCCTTTAAATACTCTGCAAAACGTAATATAAATATGTATGTAAAACAATATATATATATGTTAACAAATGCGCTTGATTTTTTCAATTGGTATGACAGTGCTAGGTTTTTATTACATTTTATACAACCAAGCAGTTGTATAACTTCATGACTAAAAGTACATTCCTAGTTCCTAACTAAATGACAACAAGCACTTTTTTCCCCTACTAACATTATGAAACCCAGCCTCTCCAGTAATGAAAATAGGAAATCTATGTCTGTAACACATTGAAGTGACATAAACTAAGATTCTGCATGAAGCCTTTTTAAATAAACGGCCAGCAAGCAATATACTGTACAATATACTGCAATAAGTGCAACGGCAGAGAGGAAATTGTTTTACAATATTCAAGGCACAAAACAGTAGACTACATCAGCAGTATTATTTCCAATGGTAGTCAAGAGAAGAAAGTAACAATGAAATAATGGAGAGGGAAAAAAAACTTACTGATTCCTTTAAAAAACAACAACAACAATACAGAGTGTGCTTTGCATGAAGGTATACTGTCAAGGTAATAAATGTACCCTGTGTAAACTCAGCAGAGTCACTGACACCATAAGACATCACTGTACTGCTCTGTTTTAGATCAGCAGCAGTCACTCTTTAAAAAAACAAAAAAACAAAATGACAATCAAAGAAGAGGATCACTCTAACACAGCCAAACTCGTGCCGCCGTTCAGGATGAGGTCATTTATTACCTTGAGAGCTATCTGGTTCTTTGCCCTGGCTGCTTTGTGCAGGGCAGTCATCCCATCCCGAGAGCGGAAATCTAAATGAGCCCCGCCGTTTTTCAATGTAACGATAATCTCCACCATATTGTCCAGGTGGGCAGCAAGGGTTAGTGGTGTCTCTGTGGACCAGAAGCACAAAAAAAACAAGTTTATTAATATGTGTTATGTAAATCTTTTTTAATATAAGCAAGATATTAATCAAGGGACTTAGATATTTCATCAAAACAATAATTAGACATGTACAATATACTGGACTATATACTGGATACTTGCCGTCACAGAAACAAAGTAACAATTTTACGATATAATCACATTGTGAGACTGTAAATGTGACTTTATACAATGTAAATATAAAGTTACCATGTAAAAGTTTAGGGTCAGTAAGATTTTAATACTTTTATTATTACTTTATTAATGAATTAATACTTTTAATCAGCAAGGATATTAAATAGATTAAAATCAGTAACAAAAGAATTCTATTTCAAATAAATTCGGTTCATGCGGCAGCCTTTTATATTCTTGAAAGAGCCTTGAAAATGTATCTTGTTTCCACAAAAATATTAATGATGCTGAAAATTCAGCTTTGTCATCACAGGAATAAATGACATTTTAAAATATATTAAAAATAGAAAACAGTTTTTTAAAATGTAATAATATTCCACATTACAGGGTTTTTTTTACTGTATTTTTGGACATATAAATGTAGGTAGGTAGGTAGGTAGGTAGGTAGGTAGGTAGGTAGGTAGGTAGATAGATAGATAGATAGATAGATAGATAGATAGATAGATAGATAGATAGATAGATAGATAGATAGATAGATAGATAGATAGATAGATAGATAGATAGATAGATAGATAGATAGATAGATAGATAGATAGATAGATAGATAGATAGATAGATAGATAGATAGATAGATAGATAGTAATATCAGCCATCATGTCCGTTATCGGACAAAACAAAAAATAATAATTATCGCTAACGGTATTGGTGTATTCCTAACAATACATGCCATGCAAAATAGGACATAAGCATTGGATTAAATCAATGCGTAAATATGTTCATTATAAACTGCTGAAATATAATGTAATGGTCTGACCAAACTGTGTTGATTAAGAAGAAATGTAATCAATCAAAAACAGTAGTTTGAGAACAACTAAATAGGGCCTGAATAGCCCTTTATGGGCAGTTAGGGAGGTTATCTGATATGGCATCCCCTACCACCAGTGTCCGGGTCATGATAGTTGGGGTCCAACCCTCTCTCCAACAGCTTGGCAACTTTGTCCATCTGATGATGTTGGATGTATTCCATGAATTTCCTCAGGTTGACCTTACAGAAGGTGTGAGAGAGAACGAGTGAGCAGGTGAGGGGAAACAAGAAACATTGACTGAGGAGGAAGTTAAGGAACAGGAACAAGTGAGGGAAATGAACAGTTGACGAGAGTGTGAAAGGTCTCTGCTCACTTCCTCTCTCATGTTGAGATCTCTGGGACACACATGCCACGAACGATACAAGGCTGGATAAAAATAGATAGGAGAGCAGCTCCCAGTACAGAGACATCAGAGAGAGATAGAGAGAGAGAGAGAAAGAGGGGAGAGAGAGAGACAGAGAGAGAGAGAGAGAGAGGGAGCACAGCTGATTTGGCTAAGAGATACGAGCAAGCTACGGCATGCTACAAACACAGATCAACATGCGTCAACTCTAACACACAACCAAGCGCGCACGCAAAGGCCTCCAAGAAGAGAAAGTAATTGCCATACCCGCACAAAATATTATTTTGCATTATTTAACTTCTGGATCCCGTTCTACCAACACTAGCTTTCAATAATTCACACTTTGATGCCAGCTAACAACTTTTAAACTACAAAGTGGAACAACATTCGCCCTCTTACGCTGCAAAAAGTGTTTTGTCAGTGTTAGCCAACAAAAATCATCTAAAACTGGTTATTCATTCAAAAATATTATTCATTCAAGAATAATTCAACCAGAAAATGTTTGATTACACAAAGGACTGAATGGTTAGCATAGTTAGCATAGCATCTACTATCTAGTGTTTCCACCTTTTTTATGGTGGAAAAATGCATTCTGTATTGATAATCATACAAAAGTAGCCATTTTTTCTGATAAAATTGGTGAGCATCTTTGGATAATTTGATGTTTTCCCATTCAAAGAGATAGGATCTGTAATTGCGTGACTGAAATAGCTGCCCGAAAGGCGTTTCAAATGACTTGCCTTAAAGGGACATTACTATAGCTCTACAAAATGCTGAATAAAGAATGAGCATCAGGTGTGTTTTTTGCTATTTATGCTTTTATTTAATTTATGAAGGTGTTGTAAACTGAAGGTTATATTATCCAATTATTTTCATAATTGTACAATGCTATCAAATTTTGTACTTCCAGTTGCAACATGGTGCTTTTATTGTTAGTGGAAAAAAGACAATTTCATACATTTCAACAAATTTACTGTCAACTACAGATGCTGCATCCATAGCGTCTGCCATGCTTTCTCATATATACAATCTTTTCAACATGACTTGAATGCGTTATGAGAGCTATAAGCAAAGATGGCAGAATTCATGCTCCAGCCGAACAACTGCTATTGAGTTGAATGAGAAGAGTCAGGATTCTTCAGTTATTACAGTTTTCCATGGATTAAGCCAATAAAATACATTTTCATGGGTCAGATAAGGTAGATAATAGCTCTTTAAAGGTGCTGTATGTAATTGTACTAAAGCATAAAAATACCATAATATGTTATACTAGTTCACATACTTCTAGTTCACATAATTTCTCTGAAAAACAATGCTACAGACAGATATTCTACTCTGAAATGTGCGTTCCGTGTCGGAATGTCTTTTTTTGTTTCAGTCTGTGTGATCGCCCAATTTACCCTATAGTATTTCAACACCCCGGGTTGCCAGTTGCTGGAAAACACAGCACATTGCAGCTCAGGAAGCCAGCAAACAAACTGGGTCAGCGATTGCAGATTCTACCCGACCTAAAAAACCTCAGCATCTATCTAAATATCTCTAGAGGCATATTAAAACACTTTAATAAACTGATAAACTTACAGCATGAGGCTTGTCTACTTCCATTGTCAATTGCGCTAATGTGTCCTCAATCTGGCAACCTGCGAGAGCTTGAACCTGCGAAGTCTGAGGAGAGCTGGGGAAACAACTCCCTCCAATATTTTGAATTTGGACTTCAACCACTCTGTCAATATTGCATACTGCACCTTTAATGTAACATCTTCACCTTTAATGTAACATCTTCACCTTTTAACTTTTCATAATGAAGTCAGATTTTAACAGAAAACCCCCACAAAGCATTTGCAACTGTTGCATTTATAATTCATCGAAGTGGGATGAATATCTGTTCCTCAGAAACAAGGACGTACACAAAGCTGTTCCTACGTCATCCTTTGCAAACCCTGGCGGCTTACGGAGCTATAATATAATAACTTATTAAGGGAGCTTGAAAGCTCAGAGCAATGAGAGGGAGAGTTTTAAATGCTGAGGGAAGCAGTGTGGGGACGAGAGATAAATGGGTTGTAAAGACACCGAGCACAGCACAGGACACACAGTTCTGGAAGAAGTCAGCAATTAAAGCATGGTTCAGAGCTTCAGGGCTGCTTTTGGGTCGAGGATCGTGGAATAACCTCCACCGGTGATTGCAAAAACGCTCATGACCACAGAGCAAAAACTGTCCAAAACACTAAAACGTCAACATCAGTGAACATCTCGACCCAACAGTCCTGCTAAGTCCAAATGTATGCAAATGCTCCGGCCTGCTGCATTATTTAGCAGCAGAATGTAAAATGGATGTTGTATGTTAGATATTCAATCCTAGTGACTGAATATAAAAAGCAAGATTTCAAATGTTTCTTTCCCGTTTTAACAGTCGCATCCCACGACACTGTTCTACTTGCAATTAAGGAAATAATGTATGTATGTAAAAGACTAAATTATCATAACTTAACAAGTTAATCACCACCTGCATGTCAAAAATAGACAAATACGCATAGTAGGCTAATCTACATATGTCACAGCAAAATATTTATTTCTCACCTGTGTGTGAAGTTTTTCGATTTGCTTTTCATTGACGTTTGGCTGCTGGTACACTCTGCTCTTGTAGCGGAACTGCAAAATTGAATCAGATAAAAATACAGTTTATATGCTGTATTGGTTTAATTTAGAAATGAATACCATCAATATAATAAACATTTTGACAAAAAAAATACACTTATAATAATCTCCAAATAATATAGCATTAACTAGAAAGTACAATAGAAAACAGATTTAGCATATAAACAATCTTGATAATGTTTTTAAATAAATAATGTATATAATCTTTAGCTCAAACAAATGATAAAATAGAAATACGTTTCATTATACTCCATTCGCAGCTTTTTTTTTTTGGTTGGTTGTTGGCTTGATAGTGGTATGATTATATCAGGCCCTGGGGCTTGAACGAAACGTACAGGAGCACTACAAAGGTTCCTGTTACACCAGCCTGACATCAGCCTTTTCACAGAGAGAGCTGAGAATGCTCCTGTACAGAAAGCACATCTTGAGGAGGACTCCGGCCTTATAACGCTGCGTTGGTAGCAATTTAGAGCAGTTATCATCAATGTCAAAACCATTTTGTCATTGTGATCATCCTTGTCATGAATAATATGAATGGATGTTTTATACTCACAATAAAATACATGATTACTTATATTAATTGTTCTTCATGTTTATTACAACAGAAAACTTTTTCAATTTGTTCCTTCAATTGTAAAAAAAAAAAAAAACACTTTTTGTAATTTAAGTCTATGTACATGTAGCAAGTATATTAAGCTCACAATTCACCTTTGGCTAAGCCCCGCCCCCCTTAGTTACTGTCGCTATGTCCGTCAAGCTACTACGCCGCTCTCACGCACACACCATGTTCTCAAGCAGTGAAAAATACATCGCGGAGCAGAGAGGAGACTGACAACAGGCTGACAGACCAGGTTACTTTTCATATTAAACATATTAAACAAAGTCTCACCTTTCAAATTTGGTCATTTTTTAAAGAAATTTAAACAATAATGTTGGACTGTGGCAACACGGTGGCGGTAACGTTAGTCACCTTCAAAACTACCACAGCGTGTCTGTAACATTAACGTTAGGTGTTTGTATCTTGAATAACAAAGTTAGCTAACATCCAGCCGCTACTCAAAACATACAATCCTGACTTACGTTAACGTTACGTGATAACTTATCGCTAAGCTTGCTTGCTAGCACCATTCTTCATTAATTAGGGTAACGTTAACGTTAGAGAACCGAAATCATAACCTAACAGCATAACACTGTCTAATTAGTATAACTTCACATTAAGGTTAAAAGCAACATTTACTTTAGAGCACACAAGTGAGCTTGTTGAGGGGTTTAACGTAGCTGACTGTGAGGACGTCCACACAGTTTAATCCAAAGACGACACTTGTCAGGATTTGACTTCGGTTTTGGGAAGGAAAAAAAACGGACACCCCCCTCCAACCTCTCTGGGAAACGCGTATCTGTGTTACAAATGCCCCAGGCACAACGCTTAATCATATTTTTTGATAAAACTACGACGGTAATAGCCTGCCGAGACCAAAAATATGAGATGCCTGTGTTAAAGTCAATGGAGCGCTGTGAAAAAGTGTCGGACCTCTGTGGGAGCTCGTTCTTGGCTGCGCTGTGATTGGTCAATCTACATTTTAGGGTGTGGCTTAGCCAAAGGCGAATATAACAAAATATTTTGATAATCATAATGATTGTTCATGTTGATTAGCAAAGAAAACAAATCTGATGCTCTTTTAATTGAAAATTAAATAAATAAAAATAAAACATAAATAATACATGGTCATTTGTATTCACAAAATCTTTTTAATTACTGATTTTAATTATTGTTCATGTTGATTATCACAGAAAGCAATTCTGATGTTCCTTTAATAAAAATAATAAAAATATAAAAGATGATCCTCCTTGACATAAATATTAAATATACAAGGTCAATTATACTCACAATAAAAGTATTTTGATTACTTATTAATTGTTGTTCATGTTGATTACCACAGAAAACCATTTTGATTTGTTCCTTAATTAGAAAAAAAGGGTAACACTTCACAATAAGGTTTTGTTAACATTATTTATTGTATTAACTAACATGAACTAACAGTGAGCAATATATTTTTACAACATTTATTAATCTTTGTTAATGTTAGTTAATAAAAATACAGATGTTCATTGTTTGTCCGTGTTGATTCACAGTGTATTAACTAATACTAACAAATACAACTTTTGATTTAATAAATGCTGTAGAGGTATTGGTCATTATTAGTTAATGTTAACTAATGTAATGTTAACAAATGAAACCTTATTGTAAAGTGTTTTCAAATAAATAAAACAATAATAGCCAAAATGTTGAGCTCATATTTTGGATTGTTTTGTACAAAGATGTGTGCTATTTGAGCTTTAAAGTTGCCTAAATCTTCCTTTTAGGGACAGGACTACTGTTCAAGGCAGATTAACTTCTAGTTAAGCATAATTCCTGTGGATGTTTGTGGAAGTACTTTGCAGATAGTGATGTCCCATGTCCCTTTCCGAAATTCTTGCATGTATTGTGCCACAGTTACATCACGTTAAGTTGACGTGTTACCTCAAGGGTCGGAACGCCTTTAGTGGAGGGTAGCGGATAGTCTCTGAGGGGTCGTTCTTCCTCCAGGAAACCACTTTCCCTCCCGTCCACGGCCGGCTGGAAGAGCCCGTAGTTGAGCACATCCCTCAGACTCTGTGTGAGTGTACACAGGATCTGCTGCTTAGCAACCCATACTGTGGCATCAGGACTGAACTTCATGGATTTCTGGCAAAGCCACAGAGAGAGAGGGAAAGAGAGAGACAGAGAGACGCTCTATCAGCCTATAGCAGGTGTACAGATTAACAAGGGGAAAACATTTGTGTGCTGAGGGAGAAAACAACAGAGGAAAACACAAACTGTGCTTTTTGACATTATTTGGTATTGGTTGACTGACAGAATGACATTTTATAAATAAAAATACGTATGTAGTAGTATAACACAAAATGCATTTTGTATGTCCCTAAGATCGTATTTTCATTTTTCATGAACATTTTCAACCCTTTCTTCGACCTTAACTCTTTCCCCGCCAGTGTCTTTTAAAAAAGTTGCCAGCCAACACCAGTGTTTTTGATCATTTTCACAAACATTCATGGCACCCCAAGTATTTTGTTGTATGAATATCTGAACATGCAATATATCAAAAGAAAGAACAGACATTCTGGTTTTAAACAAAAACCCGTTTTATTCTAGCTTCATGCATTCCTTGAATGTGGGTAAGTTTCATAAAAAAAGCAAAAAACGGAGAAAAAGATGATCATAACAGATGGGAGTAGATCGAGTTCATCAACACCCCTAATGCTTTCACAGTCCTATAACTCGTCCTGGGTCGACATTTCATTCAGTAACATTAGGCAGTTTTGATTTATATGCCGTTTAATGTTGGTGATCGTATATGCTTACATAATATGAAATCGCTTGTTGTTTCTACTTCTTCTTCGCCTGTGTTTTGATCAGGAGATTCAGTACTCTTTCAGAAGATGCGTAATAGCCCCCCCCCTACCGTATAACAGTGAAAACACGGAAAGCTGGAAATTTTAGTCAATGGCGGTGAAAGCATTAATAATTAAACGGTAATAACTGTAAAGGTGCAGTCACATTAGTAAAATTTTGGCAAAACATTGTGGGCAAAAAAAATCCCATTTGTCTAGTGTTGCAGTGTATGAAACAGCTCACAAAGAAGTCACTTTCAAACCAAACCGCTTTCTGCGTTTACCAATTTTTGACCCTTTGTGAAATCAGCGTGGACATTTTTTCCGCCCTCATGCAAAAATCCAGATCGCAAGGCTGAAAACCCTAATAAGTTGATTGAACTCAGTTGATTTGAGTAAACTCGTTCCCTCAATTTAATTGAGTAATGGGGTCTCCCAAAACGTGCATATTTAAGTGTACTTAACTTGGTGCTTATGTAGACTGTAACAATGAAGCAGTGTTAAAGTTAATGAGATAATTAAGTGATTAATTGAGTGATGATTGAGCATTATTGAAGACACCTGATGATAACAAGCAGAATCACTGAAGGAGAAAACCATAATTTTTAAGTCACCGTTGTGGAGATCAGTGTTTGCTTTAGTCGGGCTCTTGACCCTTAACTTATTAACTTTATATTTTGTTTGATGGCTGTAACTCAGTTGTAACCAGATGAACAAATAGAAAAGGTCATCTGATGGTGGTGATTGTGTTTAACATAATCATTATTTCATAATTATTGGAATTTAATCTTTGAAGTCATATAAAGCTGAATCATGTTCACCTGCGCTGTTTATATTTTATATAATATTTGTAACATTTAAATTTTAATCCAAATATTCTCTTTTAAGGTTGTTATCATAAAAAATAAGTAGATCAAATTATTTTAGACACATAGAGATCAAGAATCAGCCTCTGAATCTCAACAATGGTGACATAAAGCATGTTGCAGTGCATTCTGGGTGCCACCAATCAAAACTCATTCATGGCTCCCATCATGCATTGCTGCATGAATAAATAATGAGCTTTTGTTCAGAGGTGATCTGTTTATCACCATTGCTGAGATTCATACGCTAAATCTTGATGTCTGTGTGTCTAAAAATAATATACAGTAATATGCAGTGTTTCCCCTAGAAATTTTTTCAGCAGCAGTGCTGTCACGTGCCGGAGGATGTTACCAGGTCGCGCGCGATGTACCTCTGGAAGAATTGTTTTTTTAAATAACCCCTTAAACCATGACTTCTGGCAAGTTTTGTGGATAGAAATTGACATTTTGAGACATACAAATATGATATACCATCAACAGATTCAAGGCATGATTATTGCAGCACGTACCTTGAACTGGTCACAAACAGAAACCTTCATTTTATAATTTTAGACAGGATTTTTCACGCTTTTGTTTTGTGTTAATTTTCTTGATAGGGGGAAAATGAAATGGCACAACCCAGGAAAAGATTATTTAGAATTTATTGAAAATTTTATCTTAATGGCAAAGGCCACACCCAATCTGTGAGCACTGGAATTTTTCTAACATTTTTTAAATCAAAAGTTTTATGTTAACATTATTTAATGCACAATGAATTAAGTGAACAAACATGAACAATCAAGTGTTTGTATTAAATAATATTCACAAACATTAATTCATGTTGTATAAATATATTGTTCACTCAATGTGTTTGTTAGATAATGCATTAAGTAATGTTAATGAATTGTGTCTTATTGTAGTGTTACCAAACAATACAGGAGACAAAACGTGTTTTATTTGACTTGACTGTACTTTTATTTAATCCAAAACTGTTCTTATTTAATTTTAAAAGGCTTTTTAAACCTGCTAAGAGTTATCCAGCCAAGAATAAGCCTAGAACTGCTTTTCTGACGAACTAATAATGACATAAACAGTAACGTTACTCGGGTGTCGGTCCGATACTGTGCTCATGTACTCCTACTCATAAAACTACCCCGATACAACCGCACCTGAGTCCACTTTAGGGGCCGTTCACATATCGCGTTTTTTGCGCGCAAATTCGTTGTTTCAATTGTAGATGCGAGATGAAAACATCGTAACATCTCATCTCAACAGGCCATGTGACAAAAACCAACCGATCAGCTTCGGCCTTTCCATAACATCGAAAGCTCGGCCGAACAGCTGTACAGTGCGGCTTTTTATTTCTCATCTCCATAATAAATCTAGTAGTAAAGCTAATGCAAGGGCTAGAAATCAATTGAATTCTTTGCTGATACTTCCTCGTCCTCATGGAGAGCGCCGCTTTCTCCTTTCCAAAGGCGCTTGTTCTCCCGTGGCGTCTGTCGTTGCTATGCAACCATGAACAGAGGCGGCCTGGAAAAACGAGCGCGCTTCCCGCGCGCCTACATTTGAAATAACGAATTTGCACGCGCAGAAAAACGCGCTATGTGAACGGACCCTTATGGCAACGTGACATTAGCCTAATCGAAAATATTTCCATATGTGACTCTTTCCTCCTTTCTTGTCAACAAGTGGAATCAGAGCCACCGCATTAGCAGCACCGGCGGTCGCCATGTCTCAGTGTTTTTAGGTGTCTAAGTGAATGTCGTGATATTACTAATCATGTGAAGATTTTGCAGCGGCGCTGAAAATCCAGTGGCGGCGCTGCGCCGCTGCAAAATACATTGTAGGGGAAACACTGAATATGTATAAGAACAACTTCAAAGAAATTGTTTGCATTATGATGTAATCGTTGAAAATGTAATGCTGTACAAGGACAGTGTTGCTATAATTAATAACATAAATCTAACTCAGAAATTGGGCTTTAAATGAGTTTAGTTTAGGATTCAGGTCAAAAGATTGTAAAGTAATGATTATGTTAAAACACAATCACCACCATCAGATCACCTTTTCTATTTGTTCATCTGGCTGTTATAACTGAGTTACAGCAGTCAAACAAAATATAAAGTTAATGATCAAAGGGTCAAGAGCCCAACTAAAACAAACACTTATCACCATAACGGTGACTTAAAAATTATGGTTTTCTCCTTCAGTGATTCTGCTTGTTAACATCAGGTAACTTCAATAATGCTCAATCATCACTCAATTATTCACTTAATTATCTCATTACCTTTAACACTGCTTCAGTGTTACTTATAACACTCTTGAGTGTGGACTGATATAAACACTGAGCAGTGTTAATTTAACACTGGGGATTTTGCTGTGTACTTAAATATACAAGTACACTTGAAATCAACACTAAGTTAAGTTAACTTTATTGTTTAAGTAAATAATCGTCAAGTTTGGTGACCTAAACAATTTAAGTCAAGTCTACATAAGCACCAAGTCAAGTACACTTAAATATGCACGTTTTGGGAGACCCCATTACTCAATAAAATTGAGGGAACGAGTTTACTCAAATCAATTGAGTTCAATCAACTTATTAGTGTTTTCAGTGTATAGAATCAATTAGATTTGTCCATCCACGAAAATTCGCTAAACAATCATAAATGTGACAGCACCTTAACTGTAGGCTACCTTTAAAGGCACATCAAATCAGATTTAGTTTTGTGTCCTGTCCATGTATGTTTTGATATCATTAGTTATGCTAATGAACTCCTAAATATTGACAAAATTCAGATAAATGCATTTAAATTTAGTATTTTCATTCAGGTAAAACACCATAAAAATTGATGACTCATCCTGCACTACACAGACTACACACTTTGTCCAATCAAATGCTCTCTAGAATGTCCTTTCGCACCAAAAAATGACGTTAATATGTCCCACCTAAACTTCTTGTTCCCTATCGGTCAGTCACTACAACGTAGGTCAGACTGACCAATAGGAATCTCGCTAGAGAGCCAATCTACTTCGAGTGAAACTAAAACAAGCCAATGCACATTGGCATGCAATCATTTGCATCAGCTGCGCGTCCTCGTCAGCGCGGGTATTTAACAGCAGCTGTTATGATTGCACACTAGCTTTTTGCTTCGGAGCCAAACGCTTCATGTTTAATTCTACAGAGTGTGACTACGAGCCTCTTCTTTGGACCTCTCCTTCCCGGTGCGGGAGTTACAGCACGGCAGCGCGAGCAGTCTTCTTTTTCTCTCTCCTGTCTGTGGTGTGTTGAGCAAAACCAAAAAGCTGTTGTAACAGCTGGTAAGGTGCGCCGTACGAGCGCTCAAAAGCTGTTTTCACAGCTGGTAAGACAGCGAGAGAGAGAGAGAGAGATCGCGCACAGACAGGTGCACATTCCTGTCTGTGTTCGCAGTGACTGTTCCCCTGCGTGTTT